CTGGTGATGGGTTGGCAGATAGAGAAAGGGTGGCGCCTTGGGATGCGTGCAAACTATAGCAGCAGCGCAACTTTCTTCTTTATTATTTTTTAAGGGGATGTGTACAGGCTGCCTGTGCTCTAGAACCAGCAGGCATTGGAATTCCAGCAGCCCAGGCAGTGTGTTGGGTTGTTGGGGTGTGCTCGGCCCAACGGGCGCTAGCTTGCCGCTGATTGTGCAGGCTGGTGCCTGCTCCTGCTTTTCCCTATTTTTTTAAATAAACAATATCATCACAAAAAATTAATAACAAAGAAACGTTAATGGAGTTAGTGAAGTAAAATAAAAATAAATCAAAACCTAAACTAACACTAAACAGAATGAAGAAAAAGAAACTAAAAATAGCCCAACGGGCGCTAGCTTGCCGCTGATTGTGCAGGCTGGTGCCTGCTCCTGTTGTTCCCTATTTTTTTAAGGAAACAATATCATCACAAAAAATTAATAACAAAGAAACGTTAATGGAGTTAGTGAAGTAAAATAAAAATAAATCAAAACCTAAACTAACACTAAACAGAATGAAGAAAAAGAAACTAAAAAAATAACTAAGAGAACTAAAAATAAAATAACACTAAAAGAAAGAAAAAATAAACGGCCTAGATTTGTTCAGGCAAATTAAATGAAGCACAAAAATTCATGCACCATTTTCTCTCTCTTCTCTCTCTCTCTCCTCCGCCATTTTTCCTCTCTTCAAAATTGCTCAAAAACCTTCGAAAAATCGCTCAAAATCTTCCAAAAACCGCTATAACCCTCAATTTCATCTGCTTAATTAATTACGCTATATAAGCGCAATTCAAGTTCTATTATCTACATTTCTTCAGTTTCGAAACAAAAATTGACGAAAATTGGCAAAAATTGGCGAATATTAGGTATTGCTTCGAAACTTTGAAGTTCGTACTCTTCGTTTAATTTTGTTGCAATTTCTTACTTATTTTTGTGTTTTTGTTTGAATTTAGTTTATCGGAGTAGTAAATCGGAGTAGTTCGAAGTTTAGTTTATGTGTTTCAAAGTTCAATTTGCCTGAAATTTAAGAATTTTCGGAATTTTGTTTGTTTTTGTTCTAATTTCGTTTGATTTACTTTTAATTTCTGGTTAAATTTGTTGTAATTTAGTTTAAAATTGGTTAGAACTTAAATCGAAGTTAAATCGAAGGTTTATTTATTTATCTATTTATTTATTTTTATATAACTTCTTAATAGTAGGTCCATATGTGCAAAGGCCTAAGGTGGGCCATATTTATAATGATGACTTTTGTGGTACATGGTTATGGTCTACACTTAGGAGGGTCTTTCCAAGGTTGTAACGTAGCTAGGCTGGGGTTATGAAGAATAGACAGGCTCAAGTATACTCCCTTAATCCCTTACTTTTGGTGCTTCTCAAATTAAACCTCCTACTTTGTACAACAACTCCTACATTAGGTGCCTTTTTCCTTATCCTCTCTCTCTCTTTTTTCCTTTTCTTTTTTTTTCCTTTTTTTGACAAGTTTGGTTTTGTTTTAGAACGATTTTTAGCTTTTGCATTGGATTTTTTCCTTTTTGGGTTTAGAATAATTTTGTGTCCCACCTTATGTTTTGTTCCACCAATTTATCATTTGTATCTCTTTACACCATTCTTATCCCAAGGTTTGGAATAATGTAGGTTGAATAAGTAAGGCTCAATTGACGAGACTCAAAAGGGCTGTCAATAAGATGGATTTGTTCTAAGTTTAAAAACATGGGATCATCTTCGTGCAGTTTCAAGTTGCCTCCTGTGTTGGTGTATTCATCATATCCCTTCTTAGTGGGCCGAAAGATGGGCCTCTTTTCATTCAATAAATCTTGTAAGCCAAAGCTTATCAAGTTTCTTAAAGTGTTGAGTATATATGCCTTTTTTTATATTGTTTGTTTGTATGTGTATTTCATTTAATTCGAGCTAATAATGACAAAATGATTAAAAAGAGAACAAGGTAGACATACATGCAAATAGAATTTTATTCATTAATTAATGAGAGTACATAATAAGTAGATTTGACATCATGAATCTCTTAGTGTATCATAAAGAATACAAAAGGGAAAGAAACAAAACAAGACCTAGGGTGCTACATCTTGAATTGTTGACAACTTCTTGAGATTACGACTTCGAGCTTTGTCCATTTCCAACGTAGGTGAGAACCTCTCTAAAAATGTAGTTTGTCTATATGGTTCATGGTTTCATTTATCAAGTCTTTTTCAATTAATGTTCCTGATATGTCGTGTTTTGTGTATATTATTTGGCTTATTTTTAGTTAGTTTTGTTAGTTTAGTTGAGTATTTGAGTTCGTTTTGGCGTATTTTGCTTTAGTTTGGATAATTCGATGCTTTTATGGGTAGTTGTGTTATTTTTGATGAATTTCAGGAATAATGGAACTAGTTTGGATGAATTATGGATCCATGAAGTAAGCCAAGGCCCATGAAGTTGAAGAATTGAAGAAAAGGCCCTTTTAGAGGTAGGCACGGCCGTGCCTACTATGAGGCACGTCCGTGCTTCTGAATATACACCAGCGCCTTATTGAAGGCCCTAGGCACGTCCATGCCTAGCAAGGGGGCACGTCCGTGCCCAGGTAAAGAAGCAGGCACGTCCTTGCCCAGCAGTCAGGCACGTCCGTGCCTGGAAGACAGACTCAACAACGTTTTTATTTTTAGAGAGGCACGTCCGTGCCTTCTAGAATTTCAGTGCGCCAAACTTAGGAGTTAAATCTTATCTTTTTAGGTTTGTTTATAAACCTTTTAGCCTTGTTTGGAAGATGATTAATTAATTAATTAAGTCTTATTTTTATTTTTATTTTTTTTTTCTCTCCTTAAGAACTAGTTCTCCATTATTATTTTCCAAGTTTTCGTAATTCAAGATTCAAGATTCAAGCTTTATACTTTCAATTTAATTCAAGATTTGGTATTTATTTTTCATCCCTTGTTATTTAATTATGTTTTCATTATTTATTATTGTTTTTGTTTCTTTAATCATGTGTGAGTAGATTCTTTAATTCAAGGTCGAGTGTAGCCCTATTATTATTAATATATGAATTAAATCTTTAAATTCTTTAATAACTTTAACAATTGAGTTGCTAAATTGATTGTGATTATGCCAATGCTAGGTTAGACGTAACTATAGTATTGCGATTATTCCATTGTTTTTATCACAGCGAGAGTTAGGTATAAACGGATTTGAGTAAATTAATTTAGGGTTTGATTCATATCACGAGAGTAGTTATGTTTTATAATTGGGAAGTCAAAGTAATGTGTTTAATGTCTTTAATATGCATGATACCATGAGAATAGGATTGATTGTATGTTAGGGAATCCATTGATACTCGAGAGAGATCCTTGGTATTTATTAGGGTTTACTTTTCCCCGTTCCATTGAAATCGTATGTTAAGGGTAGAATTACAATTGCATCGATGATAATTATGGTGAAACTAGATCTTGGATGTTTTAAGTACTTGATTTAATCATCTCATTTAGTTTATTTTCGAATTCTTCTCATACTTAGTTCCGTAGATATTTGATTATAATTGATTCTTCCTTAGTAGAAATTCGAGTCTATTTAATTATTTTTGAACCTTAGTCTCTTGGGATCTGACCCTTACTTGCCAGTCTACATTAGTATTGGTCTGTTAGGTCATTTTTGATAGGTACGCGACACGCCTACCAAATTTTGGCGCCGTTGCCGGGGACTAACGGTTTCATTAGAATTATTTGTGATTCATCTTTACTAAGTTTATTTCGTTGCTTCGGCTATTTTCCCTTGTGTTTTTGATACTTTTCTCTAGTTTTTTCTTCTGCATGCCCACACGACGCTCAGGTTCAGAAGATCTTGAACCATTTGATTGTGAGATCGAGGCAACTATAAGAAGAAGGAGAACAAGGAACAGACGCAGGAGAAACATGGTAGACCAACCAACGAAATCCCTTTTGGAGTACGGTATTCCTGATACGACTACCGGAGTCCTTTCAAGCATCATAAGACCACCAGTCACGGCTCAGCACTTCGAGCTCAAGCCACAGTTCATACAGTTCATCTCCAATGATTCATTCGCAAGGCTACCACATGATTGCCCCGTAAGTCATATAGATAGCTTTCTGGAGAAATGTGATACTATGAAGTTGAATGGTGTTACAGATGATGCAATCAGACTACGCCTTTTCCCCTTCTCACTTCGAGACAGGGTGAAGGAGTGGTTAAGAGATGAAGGCACTTGCTCGTTTGATACATAGGACAAGTTAGTGAAGGCCTTCTTAGTGAATTTTTTAGGGAATGAGAAGATTGCAAGATTGAGGAATGACCTACAAACTTTTAAGCAGTCAGATGATGAGTCTCTCTATGAGGCTTGGAGGAGATTTAAAAGATTGCAGAGACAATGCCCTCACCATGGCATTCCAGATTGGATTTTGATGCAGAACTTTTACAATGGCATGACTCATGAGTTCCGTATTTACATAGATGCTGCGTCAGGAGGTTCTCTCTTGACAAAGAACCCCACTGAAGCTAGGGAGCTCATAGAGAAGATGGCGGCCAATGATAACTATCATCCTGGAGGCCGAAACACTGTGAAAAAGGGAGGTAAACTTGATGTTGATGCTTTAACTATGCTAACTAGTTCTGTGCAGGCACTAACAAGCAGGTTTGATAAGTTCCAAGCAGGAACTTCTAACACCCCACAGGAGATGTATCAGTTATGTAATGTGCAGGGTCATGTTGCTCCAGATTGCCCACAGATTTCGCAGAATACGGAAGAGATGTAAATCGAGCATGCCAATGCTTTATACTCCTCTAACCCAAAGAGATCTTATGGCCCTTATTCCAACACCTACAATGAAGGATGGAAACACCATCCTAACTTCTCATACAAAAATTCCCAAGCACAACAAAACCCTCCACCACTACCTCCACCCAACACCTACAACCAACCACCACCTGGTTTCCAACAGAAAACACCCAATGCCCACCAACCAATGCAACAACAACCTCAAAAATCAAGCCTAGAGGTGACATTAGAGAGCTTTAAAACTGCAACAAACAGTGCCATCCAACATCAAAATAGCTCTATCCAACAGTTGCAGGCTCAGGGTAAACTTATGGAGAATCAGATAAGCCAATTGGCCAACCAATTTAGCCAAGCCCTAAAGACTCCAGGAACCTTCCCAGGCCAGACTGAACAATCTCAAAAAGGCCAAATGAATGTCGTCGCCCTGAGGAGTGGAAAGCAGTTGGAAGATCCTCCTACCAATGAGCCATCAAGAGAGGTCATTGAAGAAGTGAGTGCAAGTGAGAAGGAAGTAGAGGATGCTAGGGTCGAGGAAGCATCAAAGGAAGCACCACCAAAGCCACCCGCTCCATATATGCCTAAGGTTCCTTTTTCTCAAAGATTAGCACAAGCTAAACTTGAGAAAAAGTTCAGTAAGTTCCTCGATGTTCTTAAAAAGCTTCATATTAATATTCCATTCCTAGATGCCATATCTAAGATGCCTTCTTATGCAAAATTTTTAAAAGATATGCTATCTAACAAGAGGAAATTAGAAGAGAATACTACAGTTGCTTTGAATGCAGAGTGCAGTGCTATTTTGCAGACCACTCTCCCTAAGAAATTAGGAGATCCAGGTAGCTATTCAATTCAAGTGAAGCTTGGAGATATTGAGATCAACAGGGCACTATGTGATCTAGGTGCAAGTGTGAGCCTCATGCCACTGTCTATATGCAAGAAGCTGCAGATGGGTGAACTTAAACCCACACGCATATCTCTGCAACTTGCAGACAGGTCAGTGAAGTTTCCTTTGGGTGTACTTGAGGATGTACCCCTCGGAGTAGGTAAGTTTTTCATTCCATGTGATTTTGTTGTGATGGAGATGGATGAGGATGTGAATGTTCCTATCATACTAGGTAGACCTTTCTTAGCTACTGCAGGTGCAATTATAGACATGAAGAAAGGTAAGATTACTTTTGAAGTAGGTGATGAGAAATTGGAATACTCACTTTTGAATGATATGGGTGTTCCTTCTATGGGAGACACTGTTTGTCAGGTTGATGTGCTCGATGAGCTGCAGAATGAGCAACTTCCCTTGAATCAGAATGACGATGCTCTTGAACAAGTGCTATTAGGGAAGGAAGATGATAATGGAGATTGGCAGTCTAAGGAGTATACCAGGTTACTTGATGAAGCAAAGGTCGATCCAAATCAGAACTCGATCAGAGAGACATTGGAAGTAATGAGTATTGGGGAGAGTTCTAAGCCTCCCGAGGTAGAGTTGAAACCCCTCCCCTCTAACTTAAAATATGCATATCTTGGTCCAAATAATTCATATCCTGTTATTGTCAATGCTGAACTCAAGGACACAGAGTTGGAGCAATTGCTCAATGTTGTGAAAACATATAAAAGTGTCATTGGGTACACCATTGATGATATCAAGGGCATTAATCCTTCTTTCTGTATGCGTAAGATCATTCTTGAAAACGATCATGCCTCTTCTGTAGAACCTCAAAGAAGACTTAATCCTAATATGATGGGGCAGTTAAAAAAGTGGTTCTGAAATTACTTGTTGTAGGTATAATCTACCCTATCTCTGATAGTAAGTGGGTTAGCCCTGTACAAGTAGTACCAAAGAAGGGAGGTATGACCGTTGTCAAGAATGACAAGGGTGATCCAGTCGCCACTAGAACTGTCACAGGATGGCAGATGTGTATAGATTATAGAAATTTGAATAAGGCCACCCTGAAGGATCACTTCCCCTTACCTTTTATTGATCAGATGCTTGAAAGGTTGGCAAAGCATTCCTTTTTCTGTTACTTGGATGGATATTCAGGTTTCTTTCAAATTCCTATCCGTCCCTGTGACCAGGAAAAGACTACTTTCACATGTCCATATGGGACCTTTGCATATCGCAGGATGCCATTTGGATTATGTAATGCTCCTGCCACCTTTCAGCGATGTATGATGGCAATTTTCTCAAGACTCATAGAAAACTCTATGGAAGTATTTATGGATGATTTCTCTGTCTATGGAACATCTTTCGATGTATGTCTTGAAAATTTGAAAAAGGTGCTCCAAAGATGTAAAGAAGTTAATCTAATCTTAAACTGGGAGAAATGCCATTTTATGGTACAACAGGGAATTGTCTTAGGTCACGTCGTGTCTAATAAGGGTATTGAGGTTGATAGAGCTAAAATAGAGGTCATAGAGCGCTTAACACCTCCTAACTCTGTAAAAGGAGTTTGAATTTCCTTGGTCACGCAGGTTTTTATCGGCGTTTTATTAAGGATTTTTCGAAAATTGCTAGACCTTTAACTGAGCTATTGGCCAAGGATGTCCCTTTTGTCTTTTCTGATGCTTGTCTTTAAGCTTTTAACAGGTTGAAGGAAGCTTTAATCACTGCTCCAGTCATGCAACCCCCAGATTGGAGTCTGCCGTTTGAAATCATGTGCGATGCTAGTGATTATGCGGTAGGACCCGTGTTGGGGAAAAGGAAGGAGAAGAAGCTCCATGCCATATACTATGCTAGCAAGACTTTGAGCTCTGCTCAAATGAATTATGCCACAACTAAAAAATAAATGCTAGCAGTTATATATGTTATTGACAAGTTTCATTCGTATTTGGTAGGTTCTAAAGTCATCATACATACAGATCATGCAGCATTGAGGTTCTTGATGACTAAAACACATGCCAAGCCTAGGTTGATTCGATGGATTCTACAGCTACAGGATTATGACATCGAAATCAGGGATACCAAAGGGACAGAGAACGTTGTTGCAGACCATCTTTCCCGTCTTCTCCTTGACCCCGAGGATGGAGATGATACTCCTTTTGATGATTCTTTTCCTGCTGAACATTTACTAGTTTTATTACAGACTGAATCCCCTTGGTTTGCTGACTTAGCTAATTTTCTCTCAACAGGTACAATGCCTCATTGCAACTCTTCTCAAAGAAGGAAGAAATTTCTTTCTGAGGTAAAGCGATATTTTTGGGACGATCCATTCCTATACAAGCAATGCGTGGATGCCATGATCCGAAGATGTGTTCCAGAAACTGAGGTAAGCAACATTATTTCACATTGCCATGACTTACCCTGTGGTGGACATGCAGGCCCCTCGAAGACAATTGAGAAGATCTTGCAATGCGTATTTTATTGGCCTACTATGTTCAAGAATACCTATGCCTATGTCAAAGCATGTGATAGATGTCAACGGACTGGCACAATTTCTAAGAAGAACGAGATGCCACTTAACAACATACTCGAGGTCGAGTTGTTTGATGTGTGGGGGATAGATTTCATGGGTCCGTTTCCCTCTTCTCATGGCAACCGTTACATATTGCCAGCTGTTGATTATGTTTCAAAGTGGGTGGAAGCAATAGCCACTCCAACCAATGATGCTCGGGCGGTAAGTAAGTTTTTCAAGAGAGTTATTTTCCCTCGTTTTGGTTTACCACGTGTTTTGATCAGTGACAGGGGAACACATTTCACGGAGCATTGGTTTGAAGCAATGTTGAAGAAATATGGAGTACAATACAGACTTAGCATTGGCTATCACCCACAAACTAGTGACCAAGTTGAAGTGTCCAACCGAGAAATCAAATCTATCTTGGAGAAAACGGTTGCAAGGACAAGGAAGGATTGGTCAGTTAAGATTGATGATGCGCTTTGGGCATACCGAACGGCCTTCAAAACTCCTATTGGTACAACCCCATATAGACTTGTGTATGGAAAGGCGTGCCACTTACCAGTCGAGCTAGAACACCGAGCTTTTTGGGCTATTAAAAGTTTAAATTTCGATGCTCAAGCGGCAGGAGAAAAGAGATTATTACAATTAAATGAGCTAGATGAGCTCCGCCTTGAAGCCTATGAAAGTTCAAAGTTGTACAAAGAAAAGACTAAAAGGTGGCATGATAAGGGTCTTGTGAGAAGGGAGTTCAAAGAAGGGGATCAAGTCCTTCTTTTCAACTCTAGGTTGAAATTATTCCCTGGTAAGCTTCGGTCTAGGTGGTCGGGACCATTCAAGATTAGGAAAGTCTTCCCCTATGGCACTATTGAGTTGGAAAACACAAGAGGGGAACCTTTCAAAGTCAACGGGCAGCGAGTGAAGCACTACCGAGTCGGTGATCCCATCGATGACGGGGTGGATATCACACTCTCGTCCCCATCACTAAGCTCTTGAGAAGCCATACGGTCAAGCTAAAGAGCTTATAAACAAGCGCTAAATGGGAGGCAACCCATTCTTGAGTTTTTACTCTTATTTCGTTAATCTTTCTTTATTATTTTCATTAATTTATCTTGTTTTTTTATATGAGTCTTATGTCTAGTTTTTTTTTTTTTTTGTGGTGTTAAAATAGGTGAAAAGTAAGCAAAAAGAAGAAGAAACAAGGAGGAAAACCGCTAAGAAGAAGGAAAAAGGAGAAAAAATCAAAATCTACAGAGGCAGAATGTTTTGGGGTTGAAATTCTAGAGAGGCACGTCCGTGTCTCAGGTTTTCCGTATTTCAGTTTTTTTTTAATTTTTTTTTAAAAAAAATAAAAAAATAAAAATTTAGGCACGTCCGTGCCTCTGAGGCAGAGAGATCAGGACTTTAATTTCCAGAGAGGCACGTCCGTGCCTCCCTGATCAAAAGGCACGGCTGCTTTATCTTTTTTTTCTCTTTCTTTTTCATTCTCAAACTAAACCTTCAAAGATTTCTCTCCCCTCCTTTCCTTACAACATTCGCCCCTCCTCCTTCAATTACTCACTCAATTTCTCAATTTTTTTGCATCAATCTTCAACATTTTCATCTTTCTACTCAATTCTCACACTCCATTAACAACAAAATTCAACCCAAAACCCAATTTGTGCAATTTTTCAAAGAACCCTAGATTTAAAAATCAATGTGGGGCTTTTTGATTTGAGACTTTTTGAAGCAATTGAAAAGCAAGAAAGGGATTCAACGTGATTATTGCAACGTTTGTGGATCATTTGCGGGTATCTAACACCCACCACACCTTGGGTAACCCCTTTTCTCATACTTTCTCTCTCTAGGTTTTCATGAATAATTTTTTTTTATAAGTTTCTCATAAAACATTGTTAGAGATTGTAGATTGTGTTTGGTTTGTTCAATTTGCTTTGATATTTGTGATTATAAGTTTGTGTAGTGTGATTGAGAAACTAATATTGATTTTGAAGCATTTTTGAAGTATTGTGGATTTTTGTGAGTTTGTGGTTGATTAATTGATTGTTTCTTTGTGTGCTTGATTGATATACATTGCTTGAAAAAATTGAAATCATGGCCTCCTCATACAACCAAAGAAGAAATAGGCCTAGGAGCACCTCTTCCAAAAACCTTAGAACCCCTCCCGTTCCACAACCTCCTCCCGTACCACTTGCCCATATTCCACCCATTGAGACATTCGGGATTGATTTCAAGGGAAATGAGGAATACATGAAGAATTTTCTTCGCCTTAGATCCCGATCCTTAGTGCCTACACGGTTCTTTGACCAAGAGGCTATGGAAACCTTGGGTATGGGAGGTGAGGTCCAACGCATACTTAGCTGGCTAGGATGGAGTGGTTTCTTAGCCAAACATGCCAACACCTAATCCAACATTACATACGAGTTTCTATCTACCTTAGAAGTCCGTCGTAGACCCGACGACCACACCCCTAGAGACGTTTCGCTCAATTGTCTTGGTGAACGTCACACCCTTACGGTGAGGGAAGTTAATGTCTTGCTAGGCTTCCCCACCCTTGGCCAAATAGGTTGACCAAACTACAGTAGGTTGACTGGCTACAGTGACCTTAACACATGGCGGGATTTGACTGGGCTAGATGACTACGACCCTAGCCACTCTAAGACCTCATGCATCATCCACCCAACCATGAGACTTATCTGCTGACTCTTTTCCTGGACCCTATTTGCTAGATGTAACACAGGGGGAGTTTGCTCGGCCAAGGAGCTCTATTTTCTATGGAATTTGTTAGCTCACCCCGATCCCACTGAGTATGATGACATGATTAACCCAGGGGCATGGTTTTTAGATCACCTATATAACGTAGCCATGGGGTCCGGGGACATTGCTATAGGTGGTATGCTTTCTTTGTTTGTTGGCTATGTGCAGGATTGGGCAGGTTTGGACCAGTACAGGGTCGGAGGCCCCACCACACAGAGTTTTCAGAGCTTCCAGCAGATGAGCTGGGTGAAGAGACGCCTTCGAAACCAAGGCTACGAGTGGCTAGTCGGTCGTCCTACTCTACCACGACCGGTTCCCTATGCTTTCCTCCCGAAGCTCGGGATTCCTCCGGTGGCTGGGAGGGATACTTGGATTATCCCTCCTGATTTCGTTTGGCCACCACAGCATATTGAGGGTGTCCCGTTGCCTGTGGGGGAGGGAGCCCAGCTGCACGCAGGAGAGGACCATGCGCACATGGAGGAGGATATCCCAGTTCCAGGGCCGCAAGGCCAACCTAGCTTGGAGGAGCAGATTGCCTCCATGAGGGCCGACATGAACCATGTCATGCTTGGCATGGGAGACTTGAGGAGGGACGTCAGTGACACGCAGAGGGCGGTCACAA